CCAATTCTTAGATTTTTAATTATTTTTTGGTGGGGTTTAGTGAGTTAAATCAGTTAAGAGTGAAAAAAAAATTAATAAAAATAAGATTAATATAAAAAAATCATCATTTTGCAGGCAGGAAACCATCTCCAGGTTTAATTTTCAGATCTAACAAGCTTATAAAATAATAAATCCCACCAGTGCCGGCTCGGCACGGCGCGACAGCGATCCCACCGGATCTCCCAGAAACCCACCCAGCAACCCGGGAAAACCCGACCTGTCCGAAGGCGCTGACTCCTTTATCCGTCCTCCCGCACCGGTGATAGTTGGAGGTTTGTCTTTCATCGACCAATCTTGTCTTCTTCAAGGCTTCAAAGAGTTTCTCCTCGATGGTGTTGGTGGTGTTCTCCTGACTGGCAAACCCTTGGTAGCCCCAGCCCAGGTAGGCGATTTTTAACGCCACGTGTCTACGGCCGTAAGCGTCAAAATTAAACGGCCGCTGGTGACGTTTCTTGGTTTTGCCAGAAGTTGGAACCTCTTTTCTCCCAACACTTTCCTTGTCTTCTCGGAGTTTCTCCTGCAGCCGTTTCACCTCCTCTTCCAGCTCCTGCACCCTCCTCAGGAGATGTTCTTGATCCGTAGCTGCACTCCCCTCGGCCATGCCCGGCACCGGTAGCTTCTCGGTGTCTGTGGAGAAAAAAAAAATAGGGAAATTTTCATTTTTACCTGTTTTTTATCACCCTGATAATTATTATCCACAAGATAATTCTTTTTTAACCCCTCAGCATTTCTAGCAGAGCACGGGAAGAACCACAGACCTTTAAATCCAACTCATCTCACTCAAAAAAAATCTTTTCTTTTGGCCTTTTTGATTTAAATCGGCGCCACCTTTTTCGCTACCGCCACCGATTCGATTCCCGTTTTCACACCGCGCTCAGCCGCCGCCGCCGCCGCTTTCAGACAACTCGCTAACAGCTGCCATTCATCTCACCCCACCATCTGCTCCCACTTCTTAACAACACCATGAAAATTCCAATATTTCCAGCCCGTAAAGAGATCCCAAAAACCTTTGTCACGAGCCTGGATTCCCTTTTTGCTGCTGCTTTTACTTATTAAAACCAGACTGATGATAATCAGCGTCGAAAGGAGCAAGTTAAATGCGCCGCGCTGAGCTTTCTCCTCCTCCTCTGCGGGAATAAGATATCCTCTCAGAGGTTTCTAGATTAAATCACTATTCCATATTAATTTTAGATATTAATCTAATTATTTTTTAGATACTTATTTTAATTTAAAAAGATGGGTACAAGGGGAAAATAATTCCAGGCATCAGCCCGAAGCCAAATAAATCCGCCCCGTGTTTATCGCATCTGTTTTATATAGAACATAGTTCATTTCAGCCTCATTTTCCAAGCAGGAATTTTAAGATTTACCCCTTAAAGTCAACCCCCCCCCCCCCAAATTGTGAGTTGGAGTTTTATGTTGTGAAAATTAATTGTGGTTTATTTATATGATTGTATTTTTTTTTTTTACAGGATCCACTCAGTTTGGTGGAAATTATGGAAGAAGCGATGAGTTGGGTCACTGAGGAGCGAGGGGGCAGCTCGGAGCGGATACGTCCCCGCGCTGATCCTTACGCTGAAGCATCCATCCTTTTGGGTAGAAAACCAACTTTTCCACCATTTTCCGAGGATCAGAGAAGAAGCAGGAGGTTGGTGATGAAGAGGAAAGTGTTGAGGCGCAGACCTGACGGAGGGGTCGAGGTTTCCGACGAGTCGGTGACCAATGAATCGGAACATGACTCCGAAATTTGGAATTTGAAGGATCAAATGTTTGAGTTGAGGACGGATCATGAAGACAGCATCTCCGAGGGGGAAATGGAGCCCAGCAGCAGCGTTCCCGATGAATCCCCGTCTCGGTGGCCTCCTGGGGACACTTCCCACTTATTCCCGGAGGATTCGGGGAGCCGGAGCTCTCCCACTTCTCATTCCACCAACTCGGAACAACCCAAATCCTTCATTCCTCCGCGGTTCGAACCGTTGGGGCGTAACCGGGGAAAAACCGACCGAGTAGCCAAATACTTGGAATATAAACGAGAATGGGAAAAATTCCCAATTCCAGGAGAGGATCAAAGGCAAGAATTGCGATGGAGTATCCGGGAACAGATGTTCTGGAAACCCCAAATTCCCAATAAACCGCAGCATTTCTACGTCCCCAACGATTACGTCGTACCGACGGAAAAAAAGAGAGCGGCTCTGCGCTGGGAGGTGCGCTGGGACCTGGCCCAGGGGCTCATGCCCAGGAAATCCACCTCCTCCTGACTTCCCAACGCTCCTCCCTGCAGGAATTTTTCCTAATTTTTTCCTAATTTGGGAAAAATCTTTTTTTTTTTGCATTTCAAATGGGTTAAAATCTAGTATTTGAACTTTTAACCAGCGCTTCGGGTTGTTAAACTCACCGGTGATATTTAACCGCGCACGCGCTCCTCTCCTGAGGAATTTTTCCCTCCATAATTTAGGAAAAATCCCTTTTTTTCAAATGGGTTAAAATCTGGTTTTAAATTAATGAAGTTATAATTAAATTAAATTAAAACTTTGAATTAAAACTTTTAAGCAGCGTTTTGGGTCATTAAACGTGCCGAGTAGGCGTGGAATTAACTACGACTTTCCAAATATCAGGAGAAATAAAAATGTAACGAGCCTGGTGATATTTTCTTCTTATTATAAT